CGAAGCTCCAAATAACCTTCCTTTGAGAACGACCCGAGGTCCGGTAGCTCGGTTACCATCCACCCAAAAATACTATAAATAGTACTATATGCTAGGTTTAGGCCCAACTTAAGCTAAGGCCCATCTATGCATCTATATATATGTGTACTCATCTTTGTGAATAATACATCAAATATTTTTCCACATTCTCACATAGTATCAGAGCCGGTTCTATGTGGGACCATGCGACGACGTACCCATTTTCCCCACGTGCCCGTTTATGAGAGCCTGTTTCTAGTAGGGCTTGGGCACCCAGCTCCGTATATGGGCTTCGACTTTCTTATTAAGGACTCATAAGTGAAGGGGAGTGTTGAATATCACTTGTGAGTTGTCCCACATCGTTTATATAGAAAAAATAGACCTAATTTATAAATCTGATGGGCCAATCCTCCTTCCACCAATTGGTTTTGGGATGGAACCCCACTTGGGCTTAATCTAGGCTTTCAATCTAAAGGTTCCAATAGCCTCTACTGCAACTTTATTGCCATCGCCCACAAATATGAATCTTTCAGCATCACTCGGCAACCGGCTCCACAGGCAACACTGCAAAGACATACTTATATGAGTAGTAGCTCCCGAATCTATCCACCAAGTATCTTTGGGTACAAAGGATAAATTAACCTCAGAACAAACTAAAGTTAGAGATATACCCTTCTGAACACGCCATGCAGCGTACTTGGAGCAATCTTTCTTTATATGCCCCGACTTCTTGTAGAAGTAGCATGTCGATTCCTCAGGTTCTATCGTTTGCTTCTACTGCGTTGAAGCAACAACCGCAGTGACCTTAGATCTCTTTCTCTTCTTGCTTTGAGCATTCAAGGCCAAATGAGCACTTTCAACCCTATCTATCTGCACTCTCTCTTCCTCTTGCACACAGTGAGATACAAGCTCATTCAGGGACCATTTGTCCTTTTGAGTGTTATAACTCACTTTGAATTTCCCAAAGTGTGCAGGGAGAGAGATCAAAACCAAGTGCACGAGCAATTCCTCAGAAAGCTCTAACTTTAGTGCCTTAAGTTTTGATGCGAGATTGGATATTTCCATAATGTATTCCCTTATGTTCTCTTTTCCTTTTTAACTCATGGAAACGAGTTTAGCCAAAAGACTACTCGTCTCCGCTTTTTCATTTTTGGCAAAGTATTGCTCAACAGCCTAAAGGAACAGTTTGGCACTCTCGCTCTCAGCAATAGAGCCCCGAAACGCTTCCAGAATAGAGCGCTTCATGATCACCATGCCCATTCGGTTAGAGCAATCCCACTTTTCAATTTTAACCTCATTCGCGTTTTCAGCCGTAGCAGTGGGATGCTCATACCGAAGTGCCAGATCCAAATCCATACAACCGAGAACAATTTCTACGGGTTTTTTCCAATTCTTAAAATTCGTTCCGTTAAGCATTGGGATGTTGTTAATTTGAGCATAAACATTTGGAGTTGTAGCAACTAAAACAATGTAGAACAATATAAGCATACTCACAAAATATCCATGACATAAAACAAATTATGCATGAACAAATAATACAAATTGGGGACCCATCTTAACACACCTGGCGCAACATTAATCTCGTTTGTGGATAGAAAATTAACTACAGTGGTAATCTTGGTGTAACAATCAAGCATTGATATCTGTCAAACAAAAGTCTATCTATGGACCGACTAATGTTCACATGAAAATACCGAAAAATTACACATACTTATCATCACATGTGTGTAATTATTTGGCCAAAATGTGTCTACCTGTGGGCTTATCACATAATGCATATATAATAACACACGACATCTATGTAATTTTAATAAAATCGCTCTTCACACACAGAGGCTGCTATGACAGCATGATGTTTTGATTGATTAAATTAAAAAATTACCAGACTAAGTAAGCAAACATAAAATTATGTAGCTTATAAACCAAATTAGACTTTTATTTAATCAAGTCCAAAAGCAAATTTGGACCTTCAGTCTTTAAGACATTCAAGAGCATAACATCATATAGTAAAGGCCTATATTACCAGATCAAAGAATTTAGCAACAAACTCAACTATAGTTACTAAATTGATTTGTTTAATTACTAAATTGGCCCACAAGTAATGTAAATGTTTGGCCCAAAATTAGACATGGCCACGGGCCGACCCGGCCCTGAACCTGTCCAGGCCCGCCCCGGCCCACAAACGGCCGGGATTTTGCCAGTTCGTTGAACCAGAACCTTGACCATGCGGGTCGGTTCCGGTTCTTAGTTTTTCTTTTTCTTTTGTCCCGGCAGTCCGGGCGGCCCGGGTCGGGCCGTGGGTTGGTCCCGACTGCCAAGGACGGATCCAAAAAATTTAGAGTAGACTGATTTAGAATTTTAAAAACTAATTTTCACAAAAATCACATAATAATTTTCTTTCCAAATATTCCCTGAAGTTGTGCTCGATGAATTTCTAAAAAAAATAAAAATTCATTGTGCTCATTTACACCGTATTTTATGTATTTTCACTAGTTTGACGTCGATCCCATTTTCTAAGAATTCCACAATACAAATAAATAATTTTTTTTTAATATGACATAGTTATTAGCAAAGTGAAATGCCTACACATCATAAATTTATATCCAACTATGATATACAACAGCAACACATACACACAGACACAAACACACAATTATTACTTCATACACAATCAACAAAGCAAGAATCGTATCCAAGATTCTAGCAATAACTATTAAAACCCTAAATATTCAACTAAAATGAGAAGATAGACAAAGACAATTAGACAAATAAAATAAATATGTAATAGAGGGTTTAAAAATATAACTTACTATTAAAGAAAAAATTAATCGTCTTCATGAAAGTAGCTTTTTCCGGTTGAATAGTTTTTTGCCATTCTAAATTCATTGTTATGGTGTTCAGAGGAGAGGCACATTCAGAGGAGGGCATGGTCGTGGCTAATTTATTTGATTGGAGTTTGGTATATAGTGGTGTTGTATGGGTTAGTGCATAGTAGAAATGGTGGATCAATAATATATAATACCTTATTAGAGCTGTGTTAGTAGTATTTGAACTTAATAAGTGAAAATTTTGGTGGGTTATTACGTTAATTTATTGAACTGGGCTAGAAATGCAATATATATATTTTTTTTTCAAACTAATAGTTATTTAAAAAAAGGGTACATAATTTTTTCCAACCTGTAGTATACGTGCTTTTGGGATTTTCAACCTAAAGTATTTTTTGTTGTAAAATGCAACCTGAACTACATATATACAATTATTTGCACGCTCGACTACTTTTTGACCGTCCGATCATCTGTAAAAAAGGACACGTGTATGGTCAAGATGTGGTCAAGCGTGCAAACAGTGACTGTATATGTAGTTCAGGTTGCATTTTACAACCAAAAATACTTTAGGTTGAAAATTCTAAAAACACGTATAGTACAGGATGGAAAAAATTATTTACCCTTAAAAAAATAACAGGCCAGGGCTGAAGCCCAGCCCAGGCCATATGTAGATTCGTCCATGCCGGCGGTCTTTTGTAATTCTTTTTTTTTTAAAAAAAATGGGTCGGGCCGGGTCCGAACCGGCCGAAAATCGACGAGTCGATGACCCGGCGGTTTAGGACCGGTTAAATGAACTGGCCCATAAAAATGGCCGGGCCAATTACGAGCCATCAAATTGAGGCCTGCCGTCACGGCGGGCCGGGGCGGGTCACGGCCCGTCATTTGGCCAAGTCTACCCAAAATTCATCAACGAAAGCAACAGAAAACTTGCCCA